AGGAGGAGAGGGAAATTTATGCAAAACCGCAGGAGGTCGAGGAACTGCAGAGTTATGTGCTTCTTACCTATACCAAGAAAAAAAAAAAAAAGGAGGAATGGAAGTACAGGATGCCCATTTCTGGAGCCAAGAAGACTCACTTCCCAGGCATGGCTGCTGTAGCAATAACTGCCCAAGATATATCAAAACCAAACACATGCAAGTCTGCTTACTGTGAGGACAGAAATACACATCTTTTCTAATGTTATCTTGTGTTTTATTTCTCTCTCTCCTGCTGAGCAACCTCCCTGCAGGGCCAAACAGAGCCAGGGCAGTAGACCATCTGAGGTAGCATTCAGGTCAAGCCCTTGCACTGGTAACAAGTGAAACAAAGGCAGGTCACATTCTAAGCTAAACTATGACCCAAATCTAACATTGTAACATCTTTCATACCCAAACAAAAGATAGCTTTATGTGATATAAATCCACCGTCTGGAAAAAAACTAATCCAACCTAATGCCACAAAGCTGTTGAGTAGAGCTACTATTGTTCTTTTCAAACTAAACTATTCCCAACTCCTCAGTGAGACAGGAAGATAAACAGCAAGAGGCTTCTGGGGCCTTACTCTTTCACCTGCTGGAGAATGCTATCAGCCCGGATCAGTCCAGCTTGTTCAAGCTGAGCTTCAGCAGCCTCTCGGGCCGGTCCTCGCCGCCATTCTCCATGGAAACCTGCCTCACACTCACCCTGCGATTGGCTCACACAATCACCAGACAGACACTCTGTCTTACAATACAGATAATAATGGCCCTCTGCAAAGGATGACAGCGGGAGAAGACTGATGGAGGAACAGCTTTCTCCTACAGACTTTGCCCTTTAGCCACGTTCTGAAAACGTATAAAAGAAATTCAGTGCCTGCATACGTACCCTATATATGATGTTCTCTTAAAAGTCTTCACCACGGAACAGGGAGGAAAAGAAGTACCGGTCATGTCAACATTTTTTTGAATTATATATTTTCAATAGGTTCACTGACATGAAATTAGCACTAAGAGTGGTTAAAAGCCCAAGTCAGAAACCTCTAATGACACTCGCAGTAGAGTGCAGCGATCTGACCGATCTTTAAAAAGCCTGGCCTGTCGATTCCAATTTTGGCCAATACAGATTTTTTTATTTGGTCTAAAAATTTTTGCTATCGACAAAGTGGCTAAGTTGGGAACCATGGGGTGACTTTTTATAACCGTGCACACTCAGACCTAAGTGATAGGCACTTTGAAGCTTGTTTAAAGTTTCCTGCAGAACATTTGAACAAACCAATATGACACTGGGAGAGCATCGTCTTATGAGATAGGAGCAAAGCTGAACGCTTTAAATGAAATTGCACACACCATGTTTGTAAGAGAAACTTGAAAACCAACATATCAACTGTGAAGTTAGGAGCTGGGAATATTTTGGTGTGGGGTTGCTTTCTAGAATATGGTACTAAAGTGGTTTGATGTAGTGAAAAGAGAAATGTAGTTGGGACATTCTTGACCAGCTTAACAATATAAACTGTCAATACCAACAAAGGTTTTCCTCCTAAGAACTGAAAACATTTCACGCAGCATTTTCAGTATTTATTTTCTGTGCCATTCCACCTTGTTGCACAAAACCTAATTTATTGACCGTTTTGTTTTGTTTTTCTTTGTGTGTTTATGTAACTCGGATAGTGAATTTTGTGTCAATAGCCCCATTAAAAATACATTTATTGTGGAAAATACTGACATGCTCAGTTCTTATTATTTCCATTGTACACAGTATTAGATTAGTAATTGGTTTCAAATGATGGCAGAGAAAAAATAAAGCCAACATGAAAGGCAGATATAACAAAATGCCAACCAGTTGCAAACAAACGTTTTTTTTCACAGAACACATCTACAATCCCATAGATATTTATTCCCCACATTTAACAAAGGCATCTTTTCAATAGTTTGTGCTTTGTTCAGATATAGTATAGCCTAGAACTGAGGTTCGCTGCACTGAGATGAACAATTCCAACAAAACAATGCTTCGCCATGAACATGCTTCCTTTGGTAAGACTGTCAACACAATTTGCTACGAGGATTTTAAGGTCTTGCATAGAGTTTTTACTTCCCTGTTGTTTATGCTCAAAGTATGAGGAACTCCACCTCAAAATATTTCTTGAAAATAAATCCTCCTTCATTCAGCTGCCCCCCCACCCCTCCCAAAACCCCATCCCCATCATCAACCTACTGACGGAGACCCAGGATATATCTGGAACAACAAAAGCAGGGAAGAGAATGTATACACAGCACACTGAAGCCAATATCAAGCATTATACACACACTGTACACTGAGCCAAAACACTGTGATGCTTGAAATTAGAATGGCTTTTCATGCAAACATGGGCGCTAGCTGTGCAGGTGACGGGGCTGCTGCTGCAGACAGAACTGAAATGAAAAACAAATGCTATTTTAAATAAAACTCCACTTGGCAGTGAGTTGCTGCACACACACACACACACAAAAAAAAAAAGCCAAACAAACACAGAAAGGCTCCTCACCATGTGACAAATGCCAACATTTTATGTACAGGTTAAATTATCACAGGAGTCACCGCCAATTTTTGCTCAGTGCAGCGCGCCTAACGGCTTTGGCAGAGCAACACTAATGTGTTTAATGAAGTCATTAGTCAAAAAATGAAGACAGACAGTGGTGTGAGGTTTTCGATGTGGGGCCATAAAGGGCAGAAAGAGGCAGAATGAAATAGAGGAAATGGACCCTACTTCTCAAAACGCATTACATATGCATGTGACTCAGTGTAAACATGGCAGGAAAGGTGCCAGCGTGCTGAAGTCATTTGTTTGAAAAGTCAAAGCTGGTTTCTGCTAAAAAAAAGAAAAAAAAGCTTCAAAGCCTTTTTTGAAAATATTAAGGAATCATTCTGACTGCCCTTGCCATTATTTGATTTAATCATCAAAAATTGCACAGCCTTGAATTAACTACTCCAATGTAATTATTTGCACTTGACAGATATGAATACCTAAGTTCAGTGCAAAAAAAAAAAAAATGGCACGACAGCCCTGATCAAAGCAAATTGTAGCCGAACAGTGAGTCACTTTTGCTTTACGTAAAATAATTGGCCACTGACAGTTGAGAGGAGTTAAAATTTAGGCAGACATCTATCTGAGGCAGGCCGGAGTACAAGACTCGCGTCTCACCCCCCCACCGCCATCACCGCCTCCAACTATGGCACAGAGTGCTGTCGCTACAATATATACGGCTGTTTACTTATTCATGAATGGGTTAGGGCAACTAACTCAATCAATCTGCTCTGCCAGTAACCAAGGCAGGCTTTATAAGATAACATTAATGATGAATTAGTTGTCCATAGGTGTCGAGTTTCCTTCCGTCTTATCAGCAGCTGCAATTCAAGTAGGAGTGTTGGTGTAAATGGATTGGGAGTCTGGAATTATTACGGCACTTATTGTCAAAACAGTTTGCTGTCATGCAAGGAAGATGAAAAGAGTCTTATAAAATAAACAGCAGAGACAATAAATAATACTGGGATTTTTCTACGTCTTGTTGGCAGGACAACTATTGGTGGTGCACTCCACAAGTATGGGCTGCCAAAATGAAGTCACAAGCCAGAAATGGCAGCAAAATATGTGCTGTCAACTCTAAAAAAGCCATGTCTTTGGTGAAACTTGGTAGTGGCAGTATCATGTGGTGGACAATTCATTAATAACTTACGTCAGAGGTTGTAAAGTTATTAACAACCTCTGACGTTGTAAAGAAGCTTATAAATCGGGTAAAGTGAAACCGTCCAACAGGACAAAAACCAGAAAAATGAAGTCAAAATAGGTTTAGATGACGTAATGTGTTAAAATGGCATAGTCAAAATCCATTTCTTGACGTAATTGAGAATCTGTGGCAACATTTGACAATTGGCTCACAGATTCTCTACATCCAAACTGACTGAAACAACAACAACAACAAAAATCATCCTCTGGAGCTGCAACGCTGGGGAAGACCATATAACTTTCTTGATCTATTACATAAAAACCCAATAAAAACGCAGGGCAGTTTGTGGTGGTAACAATAAATCATGTAAAAGCGAACGGGTCACGAATATTTACATGCAATGTACTGTATGCGTGCAGTTTCCAAAGAGCTGCACATTTACACCAGGTCATTTCTCACCGTCCACGTTTAGCACGTCATTGTTTCCGCATGACGTCTTCGGCCTCTGTAATCACACAGCTTCGTAAAGTTGTGTGAGACAGAAGTCACCCTATCACTATCCTGGTGTAAATGCCAGAGCGTGTCGTTTAATCACCGTATCAGAGGCCTTATTAAACCACACCTGAAGATACTGAAAGCAAACTCCTGCCTGGCTGTGCTGATTATTACCCTGCACATTTTCTCATCCTGGCCGCAGCAGCCAAGCGATGATGCTGACCAAACAGGCAGCTGCATTCACAACAAAACAAGACGACACAAGAGGATGCGCAACTAAATGTGTCAGGCGGGTTTCTTTCCAGGTTGTGAGTCACATGTGTTTCACTCTTTCTTTCTTTCTTTTTTTTTTTACGGTATTATCTCATGCAGACGCCACAAACATACTTATATTTTTGAGCTAAGTGGCTTCTAGCTCTAACTGTACCTGAAAGAAAAGCTGTCAAATAAATGATTGATTCATCCACCACACTGAAGGTACGGTCTCACAGCTGAAACCAAGGTAACAACAACACAGGTCCCACTTGCTTTGCTCGCTAACAAACAAAGCGTGGCACGGAGCACCGGCTAGCATCCTCACATCCCCAACAGAAGACGCACAAGCACGTCCGAGCGGCGGCGCTCAGATAACGGTAACAGGCATTGCTCTCTGCCGTGACCGCTATTTGGCTACCCTGATCTCATCAGCCGCGACGCAGTCAACAGGCCGGGAAACGTAAGCTGAAGCGCTGCCTCCTTCTACAGCGTTTGCGTTCAAAATGAAAGCGATAGTTCGCTTCCTACCTTTGTCTGACGCGCCAGCTTCCAGAGGCATCCGACCGGAGGCACGGCGGGGAGGCTGCCGGAGGCTGGGTCTGACGCGAGTCTTGTTGCTCCAGAAAACTGAGCAGAAAGGCTGCAGCGGAAACAGGAACTAGAGGAGCTCGGGTCTCTGAATACGGCAGTCCAGTCTGCTCGGTGGGGATCTACTGAATGGCCGGTGTCAACACGGAGCGGGGAGGAGGGAAAACACAACATCCGGTGGAGAATTTCAAAAATAAAAGTCTTTGTAATTTCATCTTTGAGTGGCATTTTTGCCGGGGCTTTACTTTGTGAAGTTATCAAGTCAGTTTATTACATCTTTACAAAGAGCGTCAGTTTATCTCCAGAAAAAAGTAACACAATTCTGTCCAAATCCAAGATCATTTCATAGTATCGTATTCTGAAATTCAAATCCAGTAAGATCAAGTGCGGTTCAAATCCAAATTACACTACAGGACAATTTTAATTAGACCCAGTCTGAGGCAAAGAAACAAGCCAGCAGACACAAGATCTAATTCTCAAACTTCACATTTGTAATCAGATGACTTTTTGAGGTGAACCAGATGCTTAATCATGTGCAGACAGAAACTTTGAAATTAAGGAAGTATAGCCTGGGGATCAGTCTAAATTTATTGCAAAGTAGCCACTAAATGCAGAAAAGAAAAAGCAACTGAATTAATTTCCCTGATTCATTAATTTTATCGTTTCTGCGGCAGACCAGGAGTTTGAAGTTGACTAAGTTTCTGTCTGGTCCATCACCACAGTATTTCAAATACAGATGAATAATGCAAGATCACAACTGGATGTCATTCAAACTCTTACCACTAAATGGGAACAAAGTGTTGGTAGAAGATGCACACACAGGCACCTTGGCTGCATTAATAAATCCAGAAACAGCTTGAGGCAATTTCACAACCACATAGTGTAACAGAGGTTGCATAGAAAGTAACCAACACACACAGTAGTTATGCTCATACAATAGAGAATCTTCATACTTTCATAGTTTTGTTAGAGGGATGGTGTCATACTTTCCAAGCACATAGTGCCATTTCATGATGACATCACCCTCTCTTTAAGATGTGTTTGATAAAGCAATGTTTTAACAGACATTAACATACATGATACAGCCCCTTTAGAAGAAATATTTCACTTCATAAGTTGACATCACGCCTCCCCTATAGCAGCATATTTTGATCCTGTTCATTTCACAGGAAATCTTATTTTATGCACACTGTATTTGCAACTAAATTCTAATTAGAAACATAAATATTCCGATATTTCTTCTCACGACATCTAATTAAATATGGACTCTCTTCCCTACTCCACTGAGTTTTATAGCCAAGTTGCATAGCAGACATGGATACCAGCCTGAATAACCCAAATAAGTAAACTGGCCTCCAAAACCTGCTTCAATAAATAATGTGAAATGACTGTGATAAATATAACAAACATGCTTAGCATCTTAATGTTTGACTTACGACTAAATAAAAAAAAAAAGTAAGGGTGTTAAAAGCACAACAGCTTTAACAATTTCATAGAGGTATTAGTGATGGTGTGGGTTGGTGTTTGAATTTGTGGCTGTGAGATCAAACCTGTTGCATCCCTCCACTATTTTACAATGTTTACACAATCATTTAAAACAGAAATATCAAACATTGTTACTAAAATATTCTACCCTTAATTATTATTAGACTTACTAGTTATATTTAATTGATATTTATTAGTCATTTCATAATGTGTTAAGTGCACATCTTGAAAGATTTTCTGGCCTTTATTTTTCAAAAATGATTGATGGGTACTTTGAAAACTTAGAAAATGTGGTGTTTAGGAAAACATATATTTAATAAAAAGAGCAATTCTCTCTTTTTGACCCCCAAAAATCTCAGTTCGTCTGGCTTCTGCCCCCAACAACCCCTGCTAATTTCTGTCTCTGCCCTCTCTGACTTTACCGATGCAGATTTGCAGGGAAAGACACAAACATAAATAAAAATGAAGCACAAATTCCCCCCCCCCACCCCCCCCATCAGTTTCCTCGGGCTCCATACGCAGAACTCACCTTCGTCCTTGTTTTCAAAGTGCCTCCACCTCCCACCAGAGGCTTGGGTGATTTATTTTGAAGGCGTAGCAAATTAATTTCCTGCATGCGTGTGGCTGATGCAGGTTGGCTTGATTTTGGCTGCTGCGGATCCTGGTGTGAGTGGGCTGGAATGGACGCACCAGCGTCAGGTTGTTGTACTGCAATTCACTCGGGCTCACATAGTGAAGGAGACGGTGCCAGCTGGAGTCGCTCCCTTCTCCTCTGGAGCCACGCAGTGTAAATGCAAAGTGATCATTCCTCATTTATATCGATATTGCCTATTACTTCCCAAGAGGTGTGCTCGGTCTCAGCCTCATCTTTTTAGATTACAGTTTGCAGATTAGGAACCCAAGACAAACTTGAAATCCACTTTAATGGATCATGCATTGGAAAAATCCAAGTTTGGAATATGAGAGGAATTCACACTAAACAAAGCAATATTATATCATATAGAAAATTGAATAGTATAACTAAAGTTAATAAAAAAAAATAAAATAAAATGAAACATATTTGGAATACTGGTGAATACATTAAAATTAATTTACATATAAATATATACATGTTTTAAATGGCTAATTTGAGGATTGTTGGTGAGTTTACAATGATTTTCCAAACTGAACAATTGACTTGATTTAATTTAAGGTTTGAAAATACTGAAGTTTCCTAAAATCAAATGTAAAATCGGAAACTGCTTTGAATAAACTAACGCACAGACATTTACTTCACAATTCAGAGGAACAACCTGTTAGATTGAGTTCGTCTCCTGACTCCTGAGCTCTGGTTTAGACGCTGTTTAAGAAATAATTGGCATTCCTTGTTGGCAACTCTATTAAATTTCCACATAGCTTCACGGAGCAACTCCAAAGAGATGCAAAACAATTACACAGAGCCACAAAATGGCACAAAGTGAGGCACACAACCACAAGAAAAATTTAAATAGCAGAAAATGTGCAAAGCAATTAAAATGAGATAGTGAACAAACTCAAATGGACTGCAAACTCTTACACACAAAATAAATATGCAAATCAAGACAGAACTGACTAAAGGGAGATGCTAAATGAATACAAATAGATACAAACCCCAGTGCAAATGCGGAGGGAAGTGCTCTTAAACACAAAAGGACAGCAGGGAGATGGCGCATGATGCAAAACTGCAGCAAATACATGTAAAACGGCTGCAAACATCAAAACAAATGAAAAACCGAAACAGAGACACTCAGAAAAGGAGCTGAAATGTTGACAAAGTGATCAAGTGAACATGCAAAAATGACAGCTCAAAGGTATGAATCAAGAACAGATGGAAATCTTTAAAAAAAAGAAAAAAGAAAAATTGAGCTGGTTAACAACTGATGAAGCAAACACTTCATGAAACAAAATGGAGTGGAAACATATGCTAATGTTAAAATAAGGATAATTTCAGGTAAAAGACAGTAAATTAGAAACTTGTACAGCTAACAAACTGTTAAACCTCCTGAAGGAAAGATTCAAGGATCAAATGTGAAAAAAAAGGAAGAATACAGATTCTTTTCTTGGACATGGTCCATGTTTAAAGTCAAACTTGAAGGATGAGCTCGCCTGCTGGAAATCTGCTTATCTGTACTTTCACTTGATTCAGTTTCCACCTCTGCACTCTCAGCTTTCGGGGAAAAAAAATAAATAAATAAAAAAAAAGTTTAGCCTTTTTCTACTTGATGCTGATGCAAAATCTACCCATTTACATTTATTAAAAGCACACCTGGGCGGACGGGGTTCTGGATCAGTCATCAGTTACATGGCTGCTGCCGCAAAGGTTACACTTCATCAAATCCTGCTCTATGCAAAGACCTGCTTATTCAGTGATTCGTTCTAATCATTCAGATTAAATGACATTCATTTTTTATTGCGGTGGGTCAGCTTTGTACAGCAGAGATTCATTAACTTGAAACATACTCAAACAGAGACATTCTCTCTCTCTCTCTCACACACACACACACACACACACACACACACACACACACCTTTCATGTTGCTAAATGATGCCTTCCCGAAGCACAGAGGAATGTGAGCACAGTCGCTAATGTTTTGTAGGCATAACTATTTCCCTTTTAAACTCATGAATTTACCCCAGGTGGGGTCAAGTTGGTTTGCGAAGGGAAGACAAACCACATGCGTACGTCTTCTTTTAGCACTGGATGCTGTGAAACAGTAAACAAGCTTCCAGGTTGCAATTTGTTGCCTCTAAATGCGTAATTTACCACAACACTCCATGAACCACTGCATGCTGTTTTCCTACCCCCATTTTCTGTCTCCCTCGAGAATTAAGCCACTAAATCAAATTCATAATACCCACAGGCTTTTTATTTGTTGCCTCTTTTTCATGAATTTTTGAAAAATATGCAGTGCGCCTCTGAGAGGTCTCTCTCTCTCTCTCTCTTGTCTCTCTCTCTCTCTCCTGTGGCAAGGAGCTGAATCACAACAACAACCCTCGCCTACATTTGTTATACACATATTTTCCGTCTTACTTAGCTGTTTCAACGACTACTGCTGGCAAAACACTGCCATCATGTGGTATAACAGGAACTGCACATTTCTACACAGACATCTAGGCCTGATGCACAAATCTCTTTGTTGTCATTTCATTAAAGAACAACAATAGAAATGCAGATGACTTTCCAACACTTGAGAGCTTATTACATAAGCAAATGTTATTTCATAGAAATATATACTTGTACTAAACATGAACACTTAGTTTCTAACCCAAACCAAAGCCTGCTTTGGTCCAAATAAGAATAGAATAGAATAGAATAGAATAGAATAGAATAGAATAGAATAGAATAGAATAGAATAGAATAGAATAGAATAGAATAGAACAAAGACTGTAATGGGCATATTTACAACATAGTAAAAAAAATGGGTTGAATAAGCAACAAAATATAGTGTGCATGTGTATTTGTAGATAAAAAGAAAGACTCTTTCTGCACCATTCCTGGGTCCTCTTCAGTTGCACGTCCAGAGGATAATGGTACGGTATAGTAAGCCTGGAGCTACTCACATGACAGAGTGTTTGATTGGGGGAAAGAAAAGTGTCACTGCTTGTGACAAGTAAAAGACACACTAGTGTCATTGCCTTGGTATGATGCCATGCCAGGTGTTTGGGTTTAACACCCACATGACCCTCCAGTGAAAGTCCAACTGGTGTTGGAAATGCTCTCCTGAATAAGCTGGAGCATAAACTAGTGAACCTGACTGCGCTGAGTCAAGCTGGAGCGCTCATTGTAAACAAGGTTATAATTGAATTGTACCAAGTATTTTTGTCTGCACCTTAGCGCAAAGCCGCTGAATTCACAGAAACACAAATGACACACAGCAATGGTGGGGGCAGGGTAGGGGAATTAACCAGAGATTGCTCTAAGTGGTCTGAACACCTCAGGTGTGAAAATGGCCTAAATCTCACCTGACTCGTTCCAACTTAATTTCCATTCCATCCGCCTGCTTTGTGTGTTCAAAAGAGAACATCCCACAAACTGGCTGTGTAAACAAACCTAGCAGTCTGAAACATAAAAAAAAAAAAAAGAAATAACAATAATAATAAAAAACCTCAAACACACCATCCAAACAAACCGCCTACAGATGAAGCCAGTTGACATAACCCTCAATGTCGATTACACTGAAGGCAGAGGCAGGTCGAACCTCTTGACCTTTTCATTTAGATTTTTTCCCCCCTTCTGTTCAGAACAAGATGCAGAATTGAAAAGAAAACAACAACAAAAAAAAAACAAACATAAGAACCCAGAGTTATGTGATGCAAAATGACAGGTTCAAACATCAATCCATTCTCGAAACCAGCTCGTCTTTGCAAGGAGGTGAGGAGAGGAGACAAGTGGCTTCTGACTGTCAGCGGCAATCATTGGGTGAGAGGCAAGGTGCACCGAGGACAAGTCTCCAGTTCATCACAGAGCAACACAGGATAAACAACTACGTCCTCTAAGGACAATTTAGAGACAGCAATTAAGTTAAAGGGGCAGTATTACGTTGAGTTGACTTTTTTGAGCTTTATATTGTGCTATAATGTTATTCCCTCATCAACATCATTTAGAGTATTGCCTTGATTCTTTCATGCATGTTTGAGAAATCTTTTAATGTCCAATGGCAACCGGTCAGTGGCCCAAAGTGCTTGGTGGGACCCAGCACCGCCTTTGAGCAGCAACTCCCTCTTGGTGCTGCGATTTTCAAGCTTCTGAGGTTCTGCCTCAAATAGCAGCCCATACCTGCTACTCCCTCACTCAGCTCCTTCAGACTAGCCAGCAGCAATTAGCAAACACCTGGTGGAACTGTGCGTTAGCAGAGGTCATATCAGCTACTAACTATAGGCCAGAATGTTGCAAGACAACAGAGTAGCACTGTTGCCTTGCAGTGCAGCCCTGTTGTGTGAAATAGAAATGTATGCATTTCCTGGAAGATCTTGACAGAACTGTGAACCATTCATCCACATTATTTGACAAACAAAAGCAACAATTAGAGGTTAGAATCACAGTTGCAAGTCTTTTAGGAGTTTTTAGCAGATAGCCCTTTAAAAAATCAAAACAACTCATGATCGATTAAACATAATGTGGTGCGTCAGCATTGGTTTTCAAGTTTGCTACATATTTTTAATTGAATTTAGGACTGAAAAACTGAAAAAGATGACCAGGGTTTAATCTAAACCATTGCACTGAAGCTCTGGCTTTATTCTGAGGGAGTTTGTTTTTTCTTTTTCTTTTTTGGCATCTCCCCCAGAGTTGATTATTTTGTCCCCTAACAGGTTTTCTTCCAAGATTGCCCTGCATTTAGCCCTGTCCATTTTCCATTAACCAGGTTCTCCCTGGCTTTTGGAGAACAGCGTCCCAATCATCATGTTTCACAGAGGAGATGGTGTGGTCAGTGGACTTTACGGTTTTATTTTCCAATTCTGTCGTCATCTCACCACAACTTTAACCCTGACCATTCTGGTGAGTTTATCGATCTTCATGATGCTGTTTGCTCACTGACGTTCTCCCACAAACCTCTGAGACTTTCATAGACGAGCTAAATTCAAACTGTAATGAAATTAAATGGCAGTAAATGACACGCTTGACCTTTTCATTTATTGTAATTTATTGCGACAGATTAGTTGGTCTTGGAGTCTAAGGCCAGGTCTTTGCTGTTTTAAAATAATCTCAAAAGCATATAATTTGTTTTTGAGTATAATTTTTTTATAGTTTTTAAACCATTATTTTGCTCAGATTGGTTGATTATCTTCATGGGAAATGCAGGATGTGGTGCACTGCCAGATCTTCCTGAGTGAAACACACAGTCAACTGAACCTGAATAGCATTTCCGATCCGAGTAACCATGAAACTTAAGCAGTTCAAAAAGCTGTAGTGATTTAAGTCAACATCATTGTATAGATTTTTTTTACACTGCCACACTTTTCTGTTAGGTACTCTGACAGAATATTTTCTGTTTTATGCTTCTCACAAAAAAGATAATTCACTACATTCTAACTTTGTCCCCGGTGCAAATAATCAACAACTTATGTCAACCATCCGCTGAAACTAGTGATGAAAGCAGTGTTTCTTTTTTTGCTCAGCTCCCAACTGGGTTTTCTTTTACTGTCGCTCGTTACCTTCTTTTTACCCAAATTGTCAATCAATTACAGTTTATTAGCTGGTAATCAATTTTTACACGCTGACAGATGGCTCGCTGTGAAGACTCCTTAAGGGAAAAAGCTGAAAGGAAAAGAAGAAGAAGAAGTTGGGAATCAATTTTTATTTCTTGTTCTCATACAAGTCTTATTTCTATGCTTTTTTTACATGACAAAAAAAATAAAATAAATACAGTTTGCTATTGTTCAAAGAGATTCTACTATGAAAAATTCCCGTTTTGCAAGTTTTTGTACATCCATTTGGGCCCGTACCGATTCTATAGAAATAGTCCAAGCGCTAAACAAAACCAGCCAGAAATTTTCTTGCAATAACTTAATGCTTTTAGGCTCTGGAAAAAGAACAGTTTCAAAAACCTCACAGTAACAGTTTTATTCACATCACAATCAGTGGACACTGTCTCTCACCTTCCATCCACTTTAATGTTAGAAGATGAGCATGTTTGGTCAGTTAATTGTATCAATTTATACAATGGCTACTGGAAAAGACAAGTGTTGTTGACTATACCATCCAGAAACGTCTTGGTGCATTTTGATAGCTACTCTTCTTCTGCTTCAAGGTCTGACTTACAGTCAAAGATGCAAGGTTGTGCAGTTGTTTTCACATGTATAAAGTGCAAGTGCAAACACTGAGTTGGGGGCCTACAGCTTATTTGCATACAATAAACTGAGTCTTAAAACAGCTCATTCTGAAATAACATCAAAATAGGCAGAACTGAGCAAAAGAAAAATCTGACCAGAGAACGATGTCATGAAAAAAAAAATTAATAAATATGTTTTGCATAACATGTAGACCTATCCTACATTGCCTAAAAGGAAACACAATAAGTCCAGTTTAAGATTTTAGTAAAATATTTAAAACCTTCTTGAATTTAAACCCAATTGACCATTTTTTGTCCTCTCTGCATCTCACCTATATCACTATACTAGAATCGAGTGTCTGCCTTTCTCTTCCTTCTTTCACATCTGATCTCAGTCTGTGCATGTGATTGGCTGCTTTGTGCGCCTATCAAATTCAAGCTGTCTGACTTGATTCATAGCCAGGAGTATCAGCCATATGTGGAGTTCAGCCCTCCCCATATGGAGAGTGTGCTGTCAGGGCTGACTCATTCGCCAAATGACCCGTTACCGATGCAGATGTAAAACTGTTTCACACATTCATAAAACTATTCTAAAAGAGAAAACAGCAAGGCACTTTTGTTCTGTGGGTAAGATAACAACTCACTGAAAACCTTCTAACGGAACTTCACTGCAAAAATCCTCAAATCTCATACTGCAGACCAGCATATTTGAAACATTTAAAATGAATCATGATCTTAAAAGATTTTAGATTTTTCAAAATGAAACACGTATCCTAAAGATTTTTCCTTTGCAGGTCATAGTTATGATCTGAGTTTTATTTTTTTTAAAATAGGCTTCCAACACATTAAAGGCCATATTAATCTATAGTAATACTTATACTGTCTTAAAGAATCTAAATTTTTCTCATATTGATGTAGTCAGATGGTTTAATATGGGGCTGTTGCTATTCATACCTCTCTCTATCCCTTGAACTTTTTCACCTTTCTTATATAAATTCTTGAACAAAGTGGTTGTCACAGCGTAGCTGCCAAATGCAGGCAGAATGCAGAAATTAAATTGCTTTTAAATGGACAGAAAACTCAGACACGGTTTTCTTTATCTCAAACACTAGATGGCAGTGTAAGATTACACTAATATCACTATCCTCATGACTCTGTGCAGCTCGGCAAATATAATCCACAGCAGAATCCACTAATGGTGCTTTTTGTTGAGGATTTGTGTGAAACCGTTTGTGCGTTAGTCGATATGAAATCAGTATTATGTGCTCTCTGTGTTCCCTCGTTGATATTTCTGCCTAACGCCACCCACATCCCTTTGCCACCAGGCTAACTGCTGGGATATGTAAATCCACCAGGTGATTGAACTCAACGCAAAACAAATGTGACAGTCTCCCATTGGTTAAATTTGGGTAAAAATTGTGATTACAGGAGGTCCCGTCAAGGCTGTCGATGCAAAAGCAGGTGTGATGATCCCTCGCAGCAAAGGGAGCTCAGCCCCGACACAACGACTTTCCCTGCATCCTCGCCATCATTTTCAACCTCCTTTCATCCTTTTCCAAATCAGCTAGAAATTTCATGATGGCATCAGCTGCATCTAAAACAAAGATGAAAGGATTTCTGGGGTACGGAGGTAACAAGGGTACTCAACGGGGAAACAGCAAACTAAAACCTCAGATAAAAGACAGTCATCTCGCATCTCGTCTACCTACTTACACACTTAATGACTCGTCGGGATCAACAGCATTGACCTTTTTCAACACCCAGCCCATGGTGTGTGTGCTGGATTAGCAGCAGGATTCTTGACTTGCTGTGATGACCAGGTCTCCAGTCCTCGGTGTCGCCCTGATGCCGTTGGCTGCTAAATGTCATGGAGAATGGAAGGAGAGAGCAGTGAGCTGCACTCAGGCTGTAAACAAATCCCTTTTTTTTCCCCCCCAGCCACGCTGCTCACCAGGGGTCACTTGCCAAGAGCTTGAGCAATTGCAGTGTTTACTTTTTCCTTCAGACACTTCTTTTATAATGACTGACAAGAGAAATAAAAATATAGATGTTGTACAGAAAAGAGGCACGCTTTGAGGACAGAGTTACTCCTGAGGGGCGACTAGATATAAACAGTGTCTTGTGTCTGGAGATGAAGCAGCAATTGCTAACATGCTAGCAATATGTCAATACGACGTACAGTGTCTCTCAAAAGTATACGCAGGCCTGAGGAAAACAATTGATAAATCATCTCAAAACCTTTTCCACATATGGCATACATCCTGTACAGTTGACAAAAAGGAAGAAATGTAATATGCATCCTTAACCTGAAGCCATAGTTTTCAGCAACACTTGGGGTACAGCATGGGTTTTCCAACAAGGACTAACTTGTCTTCTACAACTATGTACTGTGTTCTCTATTTCTGTACTGAGGAGTAGGACTGCAAGACTGAACGCTTTGTTCCCAAGAAAAAAATATCCAGAGATGTGTAATATTTTCTAAGACCACGTGGGTGACAGAGTTGTGATCTGATGAAGCAAACCTAAACTTTTTTGGCCACAGCACATTGTCGACAGTCCCTGGCCACCATTGACATCCGGAACTGGAGGCGCCTTTCTTCGGATGAAACTAAGAATGTTGAAATCAGACATGATTTCAAATGCCAGTTAGGTGTCTTCGAGAAGGCTAAATATAAAAGCTACTGAACTTTCAAGCACGCACATTTCAGGGATTTTTCCTATTGCATCCAGCCAACCCTGAAAGAGTAAATAAAAACTATTAAAAACATCTGGTGCATAGGTCCTCAATCCTGGTCCTTAGTGTCCACCGTCCTGAATAGGTGATTAACAGACTTCTGCAGCAATTGCAGGCATGGAAAGGAGGCAATAGGATCATAATGATTTGAATCAGCTGTGCTGGAGTGAGGAAACATCACAAGCATGTAGGACAACTGCGCTCTAGGGATTGGGGTTGGGGTCTACTGGTTTAGGGTGTACATTTTGAAATCTTTTCCCAATCATCCTCCAAAGCATTTCTATTTCTTTTGTGTGTTTCGCGCTTTTACTTCTCAACACAGAACAAACAAGTTTATGGATTGCAGAGCAAGGAACCCGCACCGGCATTCTAGAAAGCGATGAGGGCTTCGAGTGTTTATGACAGGATATTTTATGGACCCTGTACTGTGAAGCTGACATCTGCTTCCATATTGTTGTACTCGTGTCACCTCATGATTGATGGCGGCACCTGTGTTTGCTGTCAGAAGCAGGTTTAAATGGCTCCAAGTCTTTCATTTGTAGCGGTGCCTGGCATTTACAGATAATGAAGGGCATAATCGGTGCAACCATGAAACTCATCAGTAGTTACACTCAGTTTGAAAAGGCCAGTCATTTGAATGGAAAGTAAAACAAAGACTCAAGGTCAAGATCTGCAGGTAAGAGGGCGTTTTCTTTTCAATTCAGACACTGCACTCAACAGCCGGGCTTGCCTCTGCAGAAAAAAATAAATAAAAATAAGCCCTTGTCATCTTTACAACGTGCATGTGGGTAGGTTTGTCAGTACTCCCTACGTCTGCAATTGACAATGATTGAGAAATGAAAACTAAAATTGTGTCAAAAAAGAATCAAGCAAGTAAAAAAAGTAATTCATTGTACCCATAGGAGCAATTGAAAACATACACACACACTTTCATAGTCTATAGTAACATCAACAGATTTTGGGGAAAGTTGGGAGAGTTGTTCATTACTTTGCACGTTGCTCTCAGCCCTGCTGTTTAAATGAACACAAAAACAAATCAAGTAAAACTTTAGATATCAGATCATCATATAGATTTCAAAGAAAAACTCAGGAGTCCTTCAAATCACAACCCTTTTGACGACAATGTGCCGAGTTATCAACCCAAGCTTTTAGTTTTATCATGATTTAATTAACTTATTGACTAGTTTCAAACTGTTTTCAATAGAGTTTGATCTTAAATTCGAAGATTATGTCCTTAGAAAAGAATGGAGCTGATGTATCGATAAGATGTCATTGGCCCACGATTTATTCCCTTTGGTCAAATACAATTTTTACACCTTTACAAACTCACATTTTATTTATCTGGCTCATTTTTGAAGTGTGAATAACAAAGTTCACACTTCAAGGAAGATATTTCAACAGTGGTCAGACTTTAATTTTGGGACCTTCTAAAACCACAGACTGAGGAAGTGGGTGTATGGATACCCAGTTAGACAGCTTAAAGATTTTTCCATATCCTTTTGACAATAGAAAGATATTTAAATCAAGTCCCATTCTTTTCCATACTTCACAGGAACCAGGATTCTTGTGAAAGATGTTCAATAGGAAAACAGACTCTATCCAGACTCCTTGGTCAGACAATACTGCTTCCTAACAATGTCAACAATGGCAGCTATTCAAATGTGTGTCGTTTGAAAGCTTCATGCAATCGTGTTTCTTTTCAAGCTTGAATAAAGCATATCTTTGAGGTTGTACTTAAAAACACAAGATCCATATTGTGCATGGGAGATTTCTTCATGCTACATTTCTGAGCTTTTGCTAAAGCTGCAAGAGTATTTATACACCTGAAGAAATACTAGAGGCCTACACATCTTTTAAAGGAATCTACAGTCTAATCCGGAAAGAAAATTAAACTGATTTCGGCACAGTAATTATTGACCTTTTTTACATTTACCTGAACTAGGAAGGAGTCCTTTGTGAAAGGGAGCATATTTGAAGAATACTTAAATTCTAACATTTTAATCGCTGCACCAAAACATTTGGGGTTGCATCACTTAAACTTAAAACCTTTCAATAAAACAGTGTAATAGAACATGCATACTAATGTCTTAGAGACTCACAATTACCATATTTAAATTTTAATATTAATAAAGGGTAAAACATGTTATAATAATCTTTGTTTCTCGTTGGTCCACTGTTCCAGTAGCTGCTGGGGGGTGTTTGCCAGGGAACACACCATTTAATTACAAACACTGAAAAAGCACAGACTGCACAATATGCTTAGAAATGTTTTCTATTAAGAAAGCTGACCTCAGGATGCATTTAAAGTCACCAATCTGCCCCCAGAGTGTGAAAAACCTAATTATTATGACATGATTTTTTTACATCCTTCGGTGCTATAGAATTGAAAATCAGAAAAAAAAAATTATTTTAAACCTGCGGTTACCACATTCTCTCCCCCCCAACATGTAAACAAGAATCCAGCAGTGCAGAAAAAAAAACACCTAAACTTCCTGTAGAGTATGCAAAGAACAAAGATTAACCCACTCTCCAAAACAGCCTCCCCCCCATAGCTTATCACACAGTTCATTCAGGCATCACCGAACGCACCAAACGTAACGACGCCGAGGAAGAAACAAACCTATCAGTTTCAGTCAGGAAGAGGGAGTAACCACGTGTTTTCATTCCTCCCTGCTATCGGGCTTCGTTTAATGTTAAGAAACCGACTGAAAACTGCAGTGATGGCCACGCCGGCTTCAGTCTGCTAGCCAGCAGGATGGGACAGAGGGCTCCTCTTCCTCCTGATAGCTTCGCTAAAGACGATGCAAGAACAGAATAATGACAGGCAAAATCACGGCGGTGCACCTTTACAAAGGCAGATACAGCTCCTCACAAAAGTGTCCGTACTCACTGAATTTTTCAGGGGTTAGTCAAGTTAAAGCCAAATCCTTTACTTTACTGACGTTTTACGTGGTAGTCCAACTCAAAAGTTGCAAATGACAAAAATTTAATTACCCTCATGAGGTTCAGAGAAGACACACAATACACAGTCACACTTCAATAGAATGCTTGGAAAGATGTGTGTTGTCAATGAAGACGCTCACATACAATGTGCATTGTTAATGTTATATTGTAAAAATGTTAATGATTTTTGTAATAACATGATAATATACTATGCAAACACAACAAAGAAAGATAAGGTTTTGACGATATAATGTGGTTTTATTTTCTTTATTTTTTCCTTGGTCGGCAGCTCTGTAATTTTAAATAAATGTCTAAATTGAGAATTTTTTTAGGAAGTTTTTTTTTCTTCTGTTTTCATGTTTCAGCGCATAGCAAAAAATGGTTTTGCGAAAAAAAAAATCAGGTTTCATTCTGGTATGAAAATTCAAAACAAAAACTGAAATAACCTTTTAAAACGTGCCAATTCATATTGTTGTGAATTGGTGCTACATAACCTGATTTGAAAATATCTTCATAATAAAAATATAGCATTTTTTAAATGATCATTATTATTTTTGTCCAAAATTATTAAGAGCCTTTGTGAAAGTTGCAAATCCCAGACTCAGGGGAAAAGAATAAAAACATTGAATGAAATAAAAACATAAAATACATTGATATGAGCTGGTTATAACATGACAAAAAGCTTCTAGAAAGTTACTTTAGAAAGACACTCGGTGTGGGTTTTCACTGCAGGACTTAATTCTTGGCTGTCATTGGTCCAGAACAAATGAACTATCCAAACAAAGTCCTGGTGAAGAAAACGTGGTGACTCAACGTACCGTGAGAAGACATCGAGTCACCGCGTTGTAAACCCGTCAACGAAGAGCCTCTTACATTTGACAAGGGCATCTCTTCTCTCTGATGAGGACAAAGGCCGCACTGTCAAGATGGATGGGAAGTGTGAGCCTAAATCCAGCCATGCCTGGGCATCTGACAAGATTCATTTACTTCATAATGAGGGCAGCGGGGATTTATGTGTAATGGGGAGGTGAGTCCAATATCTCAGCGGGCACCAGTTCTTAATTTCAGGCAAATCCACTCACTCATGTCACCGCTCTCTGTGAACGTTGCACCTTTTCACTCTCGTCTGCTCTGCACCGACAGAGGTGGCAGCTTCCCTGATGAGCTCTGCTCTGCTCGAT